GAAGACTGACTCCCTCTGTGTTGTGTTACAACTTGGCATCCTTCATCTCTTCTTTCCTATTACACTACAGACTGAAACTGTGTTTTATGAAGGAAGAAAATATCATCTTTATTATCCCTCGATAAACATAGGTACAAACATTATTTAGAGGTCATTTGATACTACAGATAGTAGCCAGTTTGTTATATATTTTTCCCATAAAAATCAAGCCAGCTCCACAGGAAAAAAGGACAGATGACAAACCTGTTGCACAGAGGAGCATATTCTAATTTCTGTCCAAAGACCTGGCTTCACACAAGTATGAATAAATATGAATATCAAACGCCTCAAACTTTACCCAGCTGTAAAATTATATTGCATATGGAGCTAGACAGATTCCTTCAGTTCTCAATATTTAAAAACAAAACCCCCATCAACAAAAGACTTTCAGGAATGGCAATGATTTAGTCTCTCCTCGTTGCGTCCTGTTATCCTCCAGTTCCTTCCATGTTCCCCGGGGGCCCAACAATATACTCTGATGACCTAGAAGAGTGTCTGTCCAGTAGTGTATGATGGGCTGATCTGTGTGACATCTAGTTACATCAAGATAGGAATCTTCAACATATGGGTTAGATCAGCTTTTTGGGAGTTTAATTGTTGTTTAAATTGAAAAGTTTGTCTGCACCTACCCAAGTCTAAAAAGAAAATGAAACTCCAAGGGCCAACATAAAGAAAGAGCTTCATGCAAGTACTGATACTGCATCTCAGGATACCCTCCACTTGCTCCCTTCTCCCTGCTACAGCTTTAGCTCACCTTCCCTTGCATCAACTTTAATTGCCTGTTGTCAATTAGCCTTGATATGTCAGCAGCAGCAGGGCTTCTAGTTTACTCCACAAGGTTAAAATCCTGGCATGTGCCATGCAGGATGCATTCAATCTGTTGGATGTGGCTGCTCAGGCAGGAGTTACCTAGAGCCCTAAGGCAGACAATAGTTTGTCCTTCAACATCAATGACTGCCTGGGAATTTGAGTCAAGTCCATCCTGACCTCTACTAGCTACAGAATCCTAACCTAGTTCTCCAAGCAACTTCATGGAGCTTGAAACACAAGCCTACATATGGACATAACAGAAAGCCTTCACAGAAGCAAACAATAGCACTCAGGGAAAAATCTAGCTCTTATACGTTCAGGTTTCACTTGTACAGTATCTGGAATTTCTTTAAAAGTATCATTAAAGTTGAGTTTGCACATGGAATAGAATCTCCCTACATTTAAGTAAATTACTTATCATCTGAGGAAGCAGTTCAGTGTTAATTTTTCCATTAAGACGTACCCTGGTGTCGATGACTATGGTGGCTTCTTTTTTTGTACCGTAGCTGCTTCCAAGCATTTAATCCATGTTGGGTACAGTTTCTAAAGTAAGCATGTATGACTCAGGTTTGGAACATTTCCAGCTTTGGAAGGAGAAAAAGAAGAGCGAGAATCTTCTTTGTGATCTGGGTTGCTCCTAAACCAATCCGCCCTCAGTGGAGAAAATCAATTACACGTCTGCCATGTAAATATTCATTTACTGGAAACAAGACATAATTTGGGCAAACAAAGTGACAGTTTCCCCACACATTTGTCAATGCCCTTTAGTCCTGCCCCCATAAGACATGCCTAGTGTATCCAAGTCTTTTGTCTCTCTAATGTGGAGACTACCAGTTAGGAGGATGGGTGTTGCATGTGGGTATTTGCACCTTATGGTTTAGGAGTAAGAGATTCCAAAACTCATTGTCACCTGTAACTAGATATGGGTCTGAGCTGCATCTTGGTTCATGATCCAAACTTTAATTAAGTTAGGGATTGTATGGATCTGCAGTATTAGTTTGTGCCACTCTCTGCTTTAATTTATTCAGTTTGAAACCAGCTCCCTGGAGGTGAGGCTAGTGCACTTCTCAACTGTGGCACTAGACTATTTACAATAGCCATTCTTTACCTAGCCATTCCAGGTTCTTTGTAGCAGTTAGTCTTTGTTACCCTTAATGTATTGATTCTCATGATTTTAAATGGGTTTTTTGCATCTACATCCTTGGCCAGCACTGAAGATTTATGGGGGGAGGGCATCAAAACCCATAATTTATTATTATTATTTATTTGTTAACCACCAAAGGTGTGCTTGATGCTGAACAAGACACAAAATAAAAACAGCTCCTCTCCTGAGGAGTCGGCAATCTAAAAGAAAAAAAGATCTCTCTCTCTCTCACACACACACACTGCACCTTTGAATGCATCATCATGGGTTAATAAAATATCTATTTATTAATCTGAAATCCTATTCACAGAGATAAGGTCTGACAACTATATGTCTTGGGTTCATTATATACCAAACTGATTGCTTCCTCTATCTAAATTGTTTCATAATCTATTTATATTTTTAAATTGGCCTTTTAAAAATAATTGTTAGTAAACTCTTCAGCTTGCCACAGACCTCAAGACTATTACTGTGAGTCTGTTTGAACTTTGCATCGTCTTTGCAGATGCTGCAACACATTAATAAAAGCAACATTTTCAGTCAAATTCTGAGATTATCATTTCATATTTGAACATTTCTCAAATACTGCATCAGTCTTAATTCTAGCACTGTAATATAACAAAATAGTATTTCTTTCTTGAGTAATAATGATGTTCAGGTAAGCTACAATAATTTTGCACTTGAATGTGAAGAGTACAAATATAAATGATAGTCTAAAACTTTTATTTTTCACCACAAATGGAAAACAACATTGTTATCCAGTTGGAGTTATATAATAATGGGAACATCTTGGTGGAAATTTTAAAAGAAGAGATTCAGCACATAAATTAAACATTATTTCAACATAGTGACTGGCTAAAATGGCCTTATTTTCTAAAGTTTAAAATACTATAAAAGAAAGTAAAAATAAACATTTCACCAAGCATGGAATCAGGGAAGTCTAAATAAAGAGTTTGAGAGGAAAACTGAGACCACTGCTACAGCAGCTACTACTACACTGGGAGAAGTTACAGCTATCATGCAAGCTAATCGGAATAGAATGGGTAGCGTACAAAATACTGTCATTTCTTTCTTCATAATTGCAGAATCTCTGTTTGATTTTTTGATTATGGTCTCTGTGTGGTGCTATGGTATCTTCAGCTTTATGGAGAAATTCATCCAAGCACGAAGAGCAAGGCTCTCTGCACCTATTAACCTCCGTGGCTGTACAGATGGAGGGAGAAAGCAGGTGAAGAAGCCTCCAGGTGGGCTTCTGAACAGAGGAAAATATTCTTATTTCTATCCAAAGATCTGGCTTCACACAAGTGTGAATAATCAAACTCCTGAAACTTTACCCAGCTGTAAAACTATATGGCTCATGGAGCTAGACAGCTTCCTTCAGTTTGGAACATTTAAAAACAAACAGAAAAACCCCATCAACAACAGACTTTCAGGAATGGCATTGTTTCGGTCCCTCCTGGTTGCATTCTATTAACCCCCTAGAAAATAATCTGGGTACTGTGGAGGATGTCTCTGTGCTAGCCATGAACAGGCCAGCATAGAGGGGGTGATTGGGACCACAAACCACTGGGATGGTTCAGTGGCTCAAAATCCCCAGATGGTGTTGAAGACCAATGGGCTCTATTGCAGCCCCTATAGGGTTCACTACAGAAAGCCTGATTAATTAGGCCCTCTCTGAGCCACAGTACCTTCTCAGGGCTCTTCTTGGGGTGGCACAGCTCTGTGTCTGAGTCTAGCACTGTATCGGCAGTCATAGAATCATAGAATATCAGAGTTGGAAGGGACCTCAGGAGGTCACCTAGTCCAACCCCCTGCTCAAAGCAGGACCAATCCCCAACTAAATCATCCCAGCCAGGGCTTTGTCAAGCCTGACCTTAAAAACTTCTAAGGAAGGAGATTCCACCACCTGCCTAGGTAACGCATTCCAGTGCTTCAGCATCCTCCTAGTGAAAAAGTTTTTCCTAATATCCAACCTAAGCCTCCCCCACTGCAACTTGAGACCATTACGCCTCAATCTGTCATCTGCTACCACTGAGAACAGTCTAGAGCCATCCTCTTTGGAACCCCCTTTCAGGTAGTTGAAAGCAGCTACCAAATCCCCCCTCATTCTTCTCTTCCACAGACTAAACAATCCCAGTTAACCTCAGCCTCTCCTCATAAGTCCCCTAATCATTTTTGTTGCCCTCCATTTTCCAGTTTTTTCACATCCTTCTTATAGTGTGGGGCCCAAAACTGGACACATTACTCCAGATGAGGCTTCACCAATGTTGAATAGAGGGGAACGATCACGTCCCTCTATCTGCTAGCAATGCCCCTACTTATACATCCCAAAATGCCACTGACCTTCTTGGCAACAAGGGCACACTGTTGACTCATATCCAGTAATGCCCACCATTCCCAATTACTGTATTTGCTGTGGTCCTACCAAAATGGGAGTCATCTTCTTTTAAGTACAATATAGTGTCTTATTCAGTGCAAATGTAACTTGCACTTATGCGACATTACACTAAATGATGATTGGGATTTTATACTCTGAAATCTCATTTTACCAGGGTATGTCTTCAGTATCAAATGAATAATCCCATAATTCACTTTTGTGGAGGGTAGACACTAGAAATGTAAAATTTATACCTGATCCTTTCAGAAGTTATCTCCTGTTGTCAGCTGTTTCTTCCCAAGAATGTGTATATTTATCTCTTGGGCAAATGTTTAGTTTTTAAAATAAAATACTAAACCAACTCTATTTATGAAGCAGCAGCAGCAGAAAGAATATTCCAGAAAATTATTGGCAATTTGATTTTAAAATAGTGAAGCAAAAGATCTGGGCAAAATTAGCATGTTAGCAGTAAATCAAACAATTTTCTGAAGTACTCTGGTCTAACGTACTGATTCTTGCTAGTAGGGTAATAAGAAAAGTTAGTGAAAAAAAGAGATTATTTCTAAAGTTAGAAAATAAAATGAAAATGTTGAAGTTAAATATCACCGCAATACAAAAATGCACAAATACCTTCTTCAACATCTGACATATATTCACCATCACTGAGAATTTCAGGGGTGTAGGCTTTACGTACTGCATGATTTAAGTAAACAATATAAGTAAATATGTAGAGCACTGATATGTCAACAAAATAATATAATGTCATAACTAATAATTTTTTTTTGCAACAACGATTATCCAATGGGGCGGGGCGAAGAATTTAACAAACAATCTATGATACAACAAATAGAATTTTAAAAGTAAATAAAAATTTCCCTTTTTGCATACCTTCATCATCAGACATGTCAAGAACTTCATTCATAGTTTCTGGTACATTCATTTTATGCTTTTCTGTGACAGTCTGTTAAACATAATAAGATCATTTCAAAGTTCAGACATTTTCATCAGAAAAACATCAATTTATTGTTACATTTATAAATTAAAATACATGACAGGCCACATTTATGATCTGAAATTAGCAGAATAAGCCTTTATTTTATTTTCTGCAGTTTCAACATGTAGCTGCATATAATTATGAAATACAGTACATTCAAATAATAAAACTACCTAATATTATATCAATATATTTAACTATATTCATACAAGTTCATACAGCAGATAGAATGCTCTGAGGATCCAAAAATGATCATATCACATAAAAGAAACAAGTACAGTGAAAGAATTTAAGGCCAAGATGTTTGTAAAAATAGGAGCCTAAAGTAGTACCTTACTCTTTCTACAGTCCCATTGACTTTAATGGGAGCAAGAGTAACACAATCTAGCCCTAACCTATTAAGTCCTTTTCTGCTGTGTGAAGTTTCCTGCTTCCTGCATCGGACTATTTTGTGATTTTGGAGCTAATTTTCTCTGCAATATTTTTAAATACATACCTCACCTTGAACTGCCTATATTTTCCATAGTGACAACTGTAATAATATTATGGTAATCTATGATATTCATCAGAAAATTTTGCACAGAATGCATTCAGATGGCTGATTTTTACTTCTATCATTTATTCTCATTCAGGTTCAGGGAGCAGTATAAGAAGACTTAGATTTGGGGAAAGCTGAGTTTGCATGCCTGAAATCTTCATTTACAGTAGCTATATATGACAAGATAGCTCAGAGCTGACCTGCTGGTTTAATAAAAAAGGGGATATTGAAACCCTAACGGAACCACAAACTTTGAAGTAAGAGAGCAGTCAAGCACGATGTTTTGGATCCTACAGAAAAATCTGTACAGGTTTGGTATAGCTGTATCCAAGCCAGAATGCTGAGCGAAATTCAAAGATATGCTCACATTTGTGTTTCCACTTTTTCTACCACTGTTATTTCCCAGTCATCAGACACAAAGTTCACAAATGATTAACAAAGTTTTAGGAGGAAAAATGACTGAAAAGATTCTGGTTGTGGTCTTTGATCCAAACTTTTAAGCTTGTCATTCTTCATTTACCTTTATATACTTTATTTTTGTCTAGCTTCATAAATAATTCTGTGGCAAGTTTATGTCTCTCTGGCTCTTGTCCTCATTTGATATAATGGAAGCATTCCTTCATGAGCAAAGTAGCTTAGAACTTATTAAAGACCTTACACTCATTTTGTTCTGTGGGAATTATTTAAGGTTAAACTACCAGCTTTAGAAGGTTCTGTCAATGCATGTTCAAAGATTTTGCCTCAGCCATGTCTATACAGACTGAATTGTATGGATCAAAGATCACATACATAATTTATTCAGTTATTATTAGAGTTTTATTACAGTATGGGTAAAAAAAATCACAATACACTAACCCATATTCACCCTTTGTACCACCTTAAATGGAATTACAGCTGGGATAGATTTGGCCGAATATCCTCAAAAGATCTTTAAATTAGATGACTACGTGACAGGAGAATCTAATGCCCTCAGTAATTCAGATTCTATCTCAAAGTGCCAAGAGTCTACAATGCACCACACAATGTTGTTGGTGACTGATTACCAACATCTTGATTTTAATAAAAACTGTTTTCTGGGTTTCTGTGACTAGAGCTGTGTCTAAACTAAAAGGCATTTTGGGCTGTGAAGTCCTTTTTGTACCGTACATTTCTTGTAGTCTAATTCACAATTTGATGTAATGCAACTTTTCTCTACTTATAGCACATATTAAATAATATATCTTCCTACCTATGTGACATGAACCCAACTAGTTCATTAGTTGTACAGTCTACGAATGAGCCTCCTATATTTGGAGTTCTCAGTGTGCAACAGTAAATATCCTTGTCCTACAATTATCTAGATCTCTACAAGCCTGAGCTTGAGATAACAAGTTTCTGTTTATGCTGCTCTCCTACAACTCTTTGTTATGATGTCAGCTGTTCAATAAGCCTTATTCCTGTTGTAGAAAAATATTTTAGAATCTCCCTAGAGATAAGTAACTTTTAGAGAAGTATGAAGAGAGGTGCTAAAAAGATAGAGAAGCAGTGGTGATTGGTGCTTATTATCCAGCATATCTAACTATACTTCTTTATTTTGAAGTTTATCTTGTTAGCACATTTTAAGACAGAGCAATATAGGTTTTATATAAGCTAATGAATTATAGAACACAGCTATGGAAGTGACAAGAGGGAAAGCGCACATGAAGTAACAAAGATAAAAGCCAGCTTTTGATCCTGAATGTCTTCTATATATCAACCAACTGCCTTGATAACAGGCCACTCACAAGGAAGCTGATGACACCACAATTGTGAGAGGTGAATATTAACAGTTTTCTGTCTGCAGTGTGCTCAAAAAACAAGGAGGATGTTTCTTTCCTATTTTGTTTTGCTTTAAATAGTAGTTTTAGAAAAAAAAATTCACGAAAGAAATTAGCCAGCTTTTTCGAACCAGCATTCACTTGCTTTAAATGGTTTTTCTGTGGTGCAGATTGTGCCCAGCTAGCATGGTGGCTTACTGGCTCCCCATGACATGAATAGCAGCATGGGCGCGATCTGCACAAACCACTACATTCTCCTCTCTGTGAGAGGGATAGGTGGGGGTAGGCAGAACAGAGTGGGGACTGGGCTAAGCTTTGGCTCCATCTCCCCACATGCTGGGTGGCATAACTGTGCCAGGTAAGTACCCAGAGCAGTTTACTCACTCTCTGGATAAGCAGAGTCACAATCTCCCTTCTGGGCTCCAGGGACAGTGCAACTACACACACACCCTTACCAAGGCAGATCGTTATCTCACGATCTGACCCTTTGTAGCTACCAAGAGGATTTATGTGATCATTCATAACACCTTGTGCTGTTTGCGTTTCAACAAATATCTGCCCAAGATGTCTCAATATCGCTTCTTTTGATAACTTTGTACAGCAGCCATCAGTTGAAAAAGAAAAAAATATGGGAACGATTATCCACTTCCTTTACGAAGTCAAAAATATTCCTTTTCTTTTTGCGAATACAGACTAACACGGCTGTTACTCTGAAATCTGTCATTACGCAAGGCATTGCATTTAGCCGTATGGAGTGGAAATCTAGTCCACAGTATGCATCCGATGAAGTGAGCTGTAGCTCACAAAAGCTTATGCTCAAATAAATTGGTTAGTCTCTAAGGTGCTACAAGTACTCCTTTTCTTTTTGCGAATATAGACTAACACGGCTGCTACTCTGAAATAAGTCAAAAGTAGGAGGTACAAATGAACGTTGGTGTTTATCATTCCAACAATATCAATTTATGTAGGTACGGATCCATAGTCAAAGACAATAAGAGAAGATTGGTTAACAAGGGTCAGTCACATCGTAAGACAGTGGCCTCCAACCTTCTCATGCCCATGATCACTTTTTGAATTTAAGAGCAACCCAGGATCTATCCCATCCCTTCCCCAAAGCCCCACCCTGCTCACTCCACCCCCCGCCCCCTGTTGCTCGCTCTCCCACACCCTCACTCACTTTCACGGGTTGGGGCAGAGGGTTGGGGTTTGGGAGGGGGTGTAGGCTCTGGGCTGGGGCCAAGGGGTTCGCAATGTAGGAGGCGGCTCTGGGCTGAGCCTGAGGCAGGGGTTAGGGTGTAGGAGGGGGTGAGGGGTGCAAGCTCTGGGAGTGTGTTTGGGTGCAGGAGGGGGCTCTGGGCTGGGGCAGAGTGTTGGGGTGCAGGCTCTGGGAGGGAGGTCAGGACTGGGGCAGGGGCAGGGACTTATGGTGCAGGAGGGGGTATGGGGTGCCGGCTCCGGGAGGGGGCTCAGGGCTGGGGTGTGGCGGCACTTACTGTGGGCGGCTCGTGGACGGAAGTGCAGCGAGGCTAAGGCAGGCTCCCTGCCTGCCCAGGCCCCACACTGCTCCAGGAAGGGGCCACTGCGCCTCTGCAGCTCCTGGGATGGGGGGCACATGGTTCTGCGTGCTAACCCTCTCTGCAGGCATCACCCCCAAAGCTCCAATTGGCCACGGTTTCCTGTTCCCAGCCAATGGGAGCTGTGGGAGTGGTGCTTGCAGGCAGGAACAGCACACGGAGACCCCTACCCCCCAGGGTCACGGGAGCATGCTGGCTGCTTCCGGGAGCAGTGTGGGGCTGCAGCCGTCAGGGAGCCTGCCTTAGTGGCAGCCCCACTACACCACCGGAGATCACGATTAACGGGTTGGTGACCACTGTCGTAAGATATTGTCATCACACTATTAATATTGTGATGATTTTGTCATTAAGCAGTGAGCAATATTGGGAGAACATACCTGTGATCCAGGAACCTCTTAGTGCCAACTGGCAAGGGGCAAAGAGGGAGTGTATACAGGGTACAGGAATCTCCTGTGTCTGGTGCATGCATTCAAGCTCACCAAAGAATGTCATGTGAGCTCTCAAACAAGTGCCGGTGTCACACTGGTCATCACTATTATTGCAAAACACATATATGGATACCGTGCAAGGAGTTATGTACATACACTCTAAATTATAAGGTCTGGGTCTAGGAACTGGTCACCAGCAAAGGTGAAAAACAGGTTTCCTGTCAGACAAAATATATTTGAGGCATTAGCGTTATTTCTAATGGGTTCACCTTACTTATACTGCCAAATTTAGATATCTCCTCCTTTTGAGGCTGGCGTGCGTAAGCATTTTAAAAATGTTCCTTAGACATCAGTAAATTCCAGCTTCCCTTAATTTACAACATGAATTTAACAACTATTTGTAGTCAGTGCTAAATCTGGAAAGTTGTAAATTTAACTGGATTAAAGTTGTCAAACAAGTGATCACCTGTTGCTGAGTCAAAAGTGTTTCTAAATTCAAAGGTATTCAAACTGGCTTAATCTGAAATGGCTTGCTTGAGAGAGAATGTAGTATATGATAATAAATCAGGCAATGGAAGCACTGGGCTTGTTCATAAAGTGAGCCTTAAGTATCTATTTCAAACATTTTGTGGTTCGTTATAAAATTAATATGGCAGGACTCTGAGTCTGCAAACACTTGTCTATGTGTGTAACTTCACCCGTGTGACTATACCCTTTTACTTCAGTAGGAATACTGACATGAGTAAAGTTATGCTGATGCATGTTTGCAGGACCAGGGCCTAGATGTCTTCTTTTCAAAGGGACACCATCAATCTGAAATGTAGTCAGTTTCAAAAAATGAGCTCAATGTCATTTTTAAGCACTATGCCTGCCTCTGAATCCCTTGCCAATTTTTATTCTTTTTCAATCAAACTTTCCTCTTATTAAAAATGTTTGTCTCTCTCCCCGTTACTGTATGAAAGACACACACAAACAACAGGAGAAACTAACTAACTGATTAAAAGAGAAACAGAGAGCCCGATTAAAGATGAAGTACTGTCAAATGTAATTGAGCTGAAAACAATTGAGCAGTAATGTTTCACTCTAATCTTTTTCAGTTATGGTCACTGAAACTGTTACCTGAAACAACAGTAAGATGCTTTCAAACAGAAATGACATATTTAAGTTGATGGTGTCCCTTTAACACTAACAGATAACACTGGGACTTAATCTTTTAATTGCCTTCAAGAAGCATCCCACAATTACAGTACAAACCCTTCTAGTGGTGTTCCATCCAATTTTGTCAGTTTGGAAGAACTGCTTTTAAACTAAATCATGACATTTGCAAGCCCCTACAACAGTATATTTTGTGCGCTACTACTTGAAGGTACTGGTGGGTGAGAGAGCACTGAGTGAACCACTGCAGGCATTCAGAACTGGGTCTCTTAAGAAGAGAGGAGATCGATGTTGGTTTCTGCTTGTTTACAAAACCATATGAGGAAAGTTACTGCACTGAGGCCCCAAGCTTGCAATTAGATCGCCACATGCAGGACACTGTGCCCATGCAGATCTAGTTGAAGGATTGGGACCCTGGTTATTTATACTGTGTATAAATATCAATTTATTTATACTGTGTATAAAAATCAATTTCAGTAAGGTTTTTGCAATACATTTTGGTGATATTTATTACCTGAATTTTAGCACTTTTTAAATAAATTTGCTGTAAATATGATTTTTTTTTATATTTGACTGCATACGGATGTTATATTACTAACAGTATGTATGGCCACCTTTAACAATCAGATTGCAATCTCAGCAGGTATCTATCAACAAAGCTAAATACCATGTTTGTATAACTTTGTAGATTAAGAAAGTTATAATAATTTCATTATTGAAATATACTATACTTACAATTGTAGTCATGGTCTCTTCTGTCACGATCTTCAACGTGTCAACAACTGAAATGTAGCCAAGTCGTTTAGCAATGGCCAGGGCAGTGTTCCCATTCTGAGAATTGAAAAATTAATAAAAATGGATATGCATTAACAATGCTTAGCTATAAGAACAAGTAATAAGTTCAGTAAAAATTTACTTCAGAGTTCAAAGAAAATGTTTATAAGTCAACGCAATAAAAAGTTCCAGCAGCAGGACATGTAACGTTAGGCATTTAACTGTTTACATAAATGGCAAGGAGAGAAATAACCAGTACAATAGAAGGATTAAATTTTTATCATTAAATGTTGGAAAACGTTGATTTCACCATACAGACCCAAACAGATGAAAAAAAAATTCCATCAATAATAATGAAATTTAAAGAGAGGCAAAATAAGAAAAATACTTCTTAGACTTCAGTTTCAGGATATTTACTTTGTATATTTTGACATGTGATGTTGACAATTTGTATTTTAATGGTTATAAAGCTTTAACATTTTGAATCTCAATATTTACTGTCATTAAATAATTTTCATGGCTGTCACCCCCGTAATTTCTTGTAACTGTGAAAGTTTAACTTGGTTAAAATAGGAAAAAAATGCTCAAAAATAAACATCTATATTATCCGTCGAAATAAAAATTGAATTCTGACAAGCCTAATTATATTCTCTTACGAATGCATTTTAAAGTAGTTGGTGTTTCAGGAAAAGTAGAGCACTAAGGTGGCTATGTCTCATAGCTGAGATAACAGGCTGGCTGTTCTGTTTTATTCATGCTCTCCCACTGTCCCCCGCCCCACATTCTTCTACATTTCCATTGTTGAGATGTAGTGGCACAGCACTTTTTACCGTCGGGAAAGCATTGTCATGCTAGAAAAGAAGCCACCCACAATATGTTTTTCTCTTGTCCCTTACCACAGTGAGTTCATTGGGCGATGCGCCATTCTGGAGCAAGACGTTAATGATATGGGTGTGTCCCTGCTGAGCAGCTTGGTGTAGAGGGGTGTACCCATTCTGTCAAGGATGGAAAAACAGAAGAGTTTGCAGTGTTCTCAGGAGAGGGTTTTGATTTTTTTTAAAAAAAATAAACCAAGTGAAGGGAAAAGAAAACCTCACCTTCGTTTTGGCATTAACTTTAGCAAAGTGTTGCAGAAGGAAATTAACAATCTTTATGTTTCCATAGTGGCAGCCAACATGTAATGGAGTGTATCCCATCTGGAATGTTTTTTAAAAAGAAGAAATATATGAACATAAGCAATTACCATATGTGAACAACTCTATGCATTTACTGACAATAAACTGAATATAAAACAGAAAAGCCCCGGGAAGGTTTTGTTTTGTTTTGTAATGTGGAAAAACATCCTGAAAAAGATCTCTGACAGCTATGTGCTCTGTCCTCTTCTTATCTTTCCCTCCCCACAGAACACACCTTTTCCCTTCCGTATCCAAAATGAACCTATAAGGGGAAGCTGCCTTGCATGTCTTGTGAAGTTGAGCATATTTATTGTTGATTTCACAGACTTTTCTCATATGCTTAGACTGGTGCAGGGACTATCCTTTTATTGTGTGTGTGTGTGCACAGTGTCTAGCACAGTGGGGCCTTGATCCCTGATTGGGTCCTCTAGGCACTACGGCAATACAAACAAATAATAAAAATGGATGGAATATACAGCCAACTCCATCCTGACCAGAAGAGCTGCTAGGGATCTGAGTGGACTCCAGCAGCACAAAGTAGTCCTACGGGAGGCAGAATGCTTGCTGGTGAATGTGAAGTTCTTAGGCATGAAGTCTAGTTTTAAGGGTGTGTCTACACTGCAATAAAACACCCATGGCTGGCTCATGTCAACTTTTTTGGGCTTGCTGAGCTTGGGCTGTGGGGCTATAAAATTGCAGGAGGGAGAGAGGAGAGTCCCAGAGTCCAAATGGCTATACTGCAATTTTATAGCCTCGTAGCCCTAGCCTGTGTAACGCCGACAGACCCCAGTTGTTGGTGGGCGGGATCGAACTGGGGACTTCTGGAGCTTAGTGCATGAGCCTCTACCGCATAAACTAAAAGCCAACTGGCTGTTAGCTAAGGCTGAAGAGCAGACTCATTTTCTCTCTCTTTCTTCAAGGGGTCTCGGTGCCACTAGATGGGACAGAACACCACACCCAGAAGGTGTGTGGGTTACACCTGGGTCACCTGACACAGGCCAGCCATGGGTGTTTTGTTGCAATGTAGACGTACCCAATGTGTTCTGGACCTTTTGTTTCAGAGACCAGTGGAAGCTGGTGTTTTGTTAGCAGAACACCATGACAAACTTTTGCACTGATGAATATATGGATTTTTCTCCTTGTTGTTTTCCTACCTGACTTTCATTATTAATGTACAGTTCAGAAATGCCCACCAGAGCTGCAGCAAAATCCAGCAGCTGTCAGGGCATGAGATGCTTAAACAAATAAGGGAAATCTGACTCATGTCCAAAACACCTTATAAAATTGAACATAGCTAAGCAGTACATTTTTTGGCATGAGTTCTAATTAAGAACTAAAATGTAAGCCTGTCTCTATAAATATACTGCTCAGAAACAGAAACCTAAATACTACTTAAAAATCTCACTTAAATGTAGCAACAGGGAATCAGAGTGTTCAATCTATTTGCTGCTCACCTTAAAAGCCATTCAAATTTTAAATAACTTAAACGACATGTTGAAACATGTAAAGAATCGTAACAAATACTTTCATAAATAGTGAAGTTATACTGTAAAATGCAACAAATCAGAGAGAACCCAAAGCTGCTGCCCCCACCATCTCTTCTCTCTTTTTCTGTCTTTTACTATAATGAAAATATTGTTAGTTGATCTGAAAGAGCTTGGGATTCTTACAAAGTGATAGAAATGATCAGATTGTACCTCCTAAAGCAATTATCTCCTCCTTTCTTATCTGCCTGCATCAAGACATTATCTCTTCTTCCTTAATAAATACGCTTACTTCATTATAATCAGACTGGGGCTGCAATGAAGGACAGTTCAGAAGAGGGGCAACTAAAAAGAAGACTTTTTCAAAGTACTTTACAAAGATTAACCCAGTTGGCTGTTGGATAGGCGAGGATTATCCTCTCTATTTTACAAAGGAGGAAACCGAGGCACAGAGGTTCAGTGACTTGCCCAGATGCACTGGTCAGGACTGGAATTCCAAAGTCAGGACTGGAATTCAGGAGCTCCTGCTCCCTATCTTATTTTCAGACCACTGAACCATGACTCTTAAGAAAAAGGAAAATAAAGATGTGAATGGCTCTGCATGGTTTACACTGAAAGTATGTTTCAGTGGTTGTCGCATTTAGATTCAGTCTTTTCTTCATATCAATTTAAATTAGTCTCCAACATGTCCATTTTAAACAAAAGGTGCCTAATGGCCTATCTTAAAACATCCTGGGGGAATATTAGATGTGCCAATTACTGTAAAATATGGTGTGTGTATTTACATGCCTTTACTTCAGTGAATCATAAATCAGGTAACATGTAAAGAATATAAAGAAACTACTAAGTAGACTATTTAATTAAGTACTACTTTAAATTTACCCACTGCAAATGGTAAATGTCAAGATTTTAATGGCACCCACTATTGTACCTCTGTAAGCTGCTAGCAGAACAATTACCTACACGACTTCTTTCTCGCTGGCTCTTTTCTCACTGCTGACTAGCTAGCAATTTGAATCAGAGTCCAGGTACAGTACTAACTCTGGAAGACTTTCTTTTTGTCCCTTTTGAAGTGTGTGGGGTAGGGGAAAGAACAGAGGGAAGTTTTTGAACTCCGAATGACCTCCACCCCCATTTATTTCCTTTCTACTATTTTCCCCTTGGAGGCCTCAAAGCACAGCTATCTTGTGTCCCAGAAATGACTGCCAAATACAGCTCTCACTAAAGCCATTAATGCTGTTTTTCCTATCAAGCATGGGGAAGGGAGGTGGGTTCACTGCAGAGTGACATGAGGTACTTCTTCCCTCCCCTCTGGGGTTCAGCATGGTGCCTTGGTGGCAATCTCAGCACCTGCCAGCCTGGGAGGAAAACACTGAACTCTGAACCCTATGTGGCAGCATATTGTGCCACCACTAGACCACTGGGCCACCCTGGAAGATTTTCTCTTAAGTTTCCAGTACCTTGTGGTTACATTGTGTCATGTTTTATCATGCTCCATGTGCTATACAATGTAGTGCCGCCATCAGCAAAGACAGGATGATGTGACAAGACAGCATGGAACACAAATGAATACATTGGACATTTTAGAATGAAGTTTCTTTCCGTTAGCAAGCAGCTTTCATAGCAATAGGCAACAATGTCCACAATAATTGTGCTGGGTCAAAACACAAAATTAAAACTAATTACTGAGATGCCTACTTAAACCTGAGACCCAAAGAGAATATCCTCTATTTCCCAGCTACAGTATGAACTCCAATACCAAATGGCTTTCAGTCTGGCAGTTATCTAAATTTATATTTACAGTATTTCTTGACTTCCTTATTGCAGATGGATATCCTGTTGAGATTTCTGAATCATGCCAACTGGCAGATTACACAGTTTGCTTACACAGCCAAACAAGGGTGGAGAGCAAGAAAGCAATTCTCACTGCTACCTGGATTCCCCATTCTGGGTTCTCAGAACATTGTAGATGAGTAAACAGGAGGCTAAACATGTTTGTTTTGTTAACAAGTTTTAAACTATAGAAACATCATATGCAGATGCATCTTGATTTTAAACGAATATTTACTGGCATAAGCTTCCTGGAACTTAGCAGACTTACCAGTCAATAATATCTTATTTCAGAAAATTAGGATTTTTTTTAATGCAGCTCCTATTTTTGTTACCTCATGGTAATCAATTGATTACATTGCTTCTAGTCAGTTTAAGAATGGACATCAACATGGGGGCTAACAGATGGGGAGTGCTTCTCAAAAGCAGAAAGAATAGATGTCAAAAATTAACCCAGAAATATTGGACTTTTAATTCTATATTATGGTATTGAAACAAACATCTATTCCCCCTCCTTTTTGGGAGGAGAAAAGTATCAAAAACCCCATGTAGTGGGTATCTTTTCAATATCCTTCATTTTCCCTTGTAGTAACAATAAATCCTAACAGCTTGAATTATTACATCTCTCTTCATGCTGACTCTCAAGCTGCTCTGTTTTTTTCTGCTGTTGCCGTCAGACGCTGAAGATAGAGGGAGAGCTAAGAAATGAACACAGAACAATCGAATAGAGTTTCACTGATGTCTTTGATTAGGCTGAAAACTCCTCTAGATCCAGACACCACAAATCCAATGAGACCTTGATTCAGCAAAGCACACAAGCACTTCTTTAAGTTTAAGCATGTTTAAGTGCTTTACTAAATCAAGGTTTAACTGCATAAAGTATCTCGCAAAGGCCAACTATTAATTTTATTGAGGGGTTGGAAATTTCTACTGCAATGGCCACTAGACAGTTTAACATGCATCTAAAAACTGTGGTAGTAATCGATAATATGATAGATAATATGCAACAAAGATACATTTCAATAATCATGATTAAGCATTTCAAGCACTCTTTCCAACATACCACTATTTCTCTGTTCCCTTTTCCTTTTAATACTAAAATTGCTTATTATTATAATTAAACATAAAACTGTGATTTTTTTTCTTCGTGCTTGTGAAAGGTACTGAACACTTTTAGTTAGCAACAAAAGAGGTATATCGGCAGTACAACTTTTCCCACACTGTCCAGCCTCAGCCCTGACCTGGAAGGTACAATTCAGGGAGTAAGAGAGTAGTTGATCACCATCATTTCTCAATCCTTGATAAAAATACTACCAAGGGTACAAATACAGCCACTTTAGTGTTGGCTTTATTATCCGGACTCTTTCCTATCAGGAACTAGAGTGAGACAATCAATTTTTGTCATATGGGTCCAACAGCCAGCACACAGTAACAATTTTCAATAACTAATGGTCTGTGCTAGCTTCAAACAGGCAACACTGAGAGGAAAGCTCCAAATCCCAGTACCAATCCCTTCGGCAATCCAGTATCTGGTTTTATTTTCTCAGGCTAGCTCTGTAAATTATACATTAAAACAACACTAGCCACTGTGGAACAGCCAAATAATAATGAACTTCAAAAGGGCATTAACCCTCTTGTCAGTGTTCAGCATTATGGCCATACTAGGAAAGCAAGATAATACATATATGTAATCAACACACACAGTTA